CTCCCCGCGGGCGGGTGCTGCGGGTTCCTCCGGTCCGTGTCTGTCTGCAGCAGTCGCGCGTTAAAAACGGACAGGGGAGGGCTGGGCTTTGTATCTCGGGTGACCGTGCAGCGCGGGTCGAGCCGAGGCGGGATCCCGGACCACCCCTCGTGTTTTAACTGGAACTGACTGGGAGAGACTTGGGCACATCGGCGTGGTGAGGAGGAAGGGCACGCTGGAAGAAACGCACCCCGGGCTCCTTTGCTGGGGCGTTTTTGTTGTATCTGGAGCACAGTAAGGCTCTGAATGGTGACTCCTTGGGAAGCAGCTCTTCTGTCAAATCCTGCCCTTGAGCTTTGACAAAGTTGCCTTTTCAAGGCTTCATTGTGTTTTTCTCCAGTCAGAGCAGTCTAGGGTTTTGTTTTTTTCTTTTCCCCTCTGTATAAGCAGAAGAAGATGCCCTCTGCCATCACTTCAGGTCGTCTGGAACGTAAATTGATATAGAATGAGGTTTTGTCTGCCATTTTTCCAGGAATAGCTATCACTCACTTTGTCCTTAAATGAACGTGCATACTGAGAGCAATTTTCATACTCAAATAAAGCACATTTAAACGCTGTCTAAATGCTACCATTTGCTAGTAAAGTCATATTAGTTCATTATGTATTCTGTGAATGAAGGCTGGCTAATGAATGAGGGCATCCATAAAGGGATTTAAATATGGTTTAAATGTGCTTTACCTTGTATCATTTATGTTCACAATTTCGGTTAAAGCCCCTACCTACAGTCCGTGCAGTCACAGTCACGACTGCAGTGTTGCGTCGTTTGGAACAGTGAGAAGAACAACCTGACTTCCCCGCAGCCTGGAGTGGTGTGGTCCCGCAGGGGCTGTTGCTCACACTTTCACGAAGGGAAGAGCAGACTGGCTAGGACTGACACAACTAATGACAAGGCTAATTGAATTCTCGCTTTTGAGCACTAAGTGTGAATCTTACTTTATCCAGAAGGTATGATACATTTTCCTGCTGCAGAACAGTACTATAATGTCACTGCACGTTTTTGACATGAACATCTTTGTTGCTGGTTAAATCTCTTTTAACTGCAAACCCTGTCTGATTCGGGCCATACATATTCTGCTGTTCTGTAATCTCTGCACATAGCTCGCTATTTCTGTGCCCAGTGCAGTTATTGAACAGGGTCATTAAGTTGCTAAAATATTCCACTTCAGATTGCTAACATACAGATCTCTCTTGCTAGAGCAATCTGTATCTAAACATAAATTTATCTGGAGGAAACAGCCCTCTTCCACAGCTAGTCTCTTTCTTAGTAGAATCCTACCTAAAACTGATTTCCACTAATGAGGTTAGAATGCAGAAGTGGGATATACGACTGTGATCTTTGGATTGTGTAGCAGCCGTGTCAGCAGCACTGAGCAGGTGCGCGAGTCTTGCCGTTGTGGCACCAACGCCTTCTGCGTGCTGGCAAGTGGCATTGACCTTTATGGGTAATAAAGCCTGAGCTTCTGCTCCTTTCTGGCTACCGAAGTAACAGTTGTCCGTTAAAGTGAAAGTCCAGGTTGGTTCTTGTCACTGGCAAGATAGATTGTATGGTCTTTATGGGGGGAACTTGCAGAGGCTCAAGCAGCATTGATTAAGCACTTAATGCCTAGGGAGAAAATGTATGGCTTTGTGGCAGCTCACTGGGACCACACTTCGCTTCGCATCTCTGAACTGCGTACGCTCCTGCTCGATTCTATGTGACTTTGGCTGTGTGATCTGTAATGAGCTTTGAGTCACGTGCTCTGCTGCAGCCGGCCTCTGGTAAATCCTCTTACACAGTCTTTATTCTCAGTGGGGTCTTTGGCAGAAGAGGTTTTTCCAAGCTGAGAACATGGCCACTTCTTGTCAGCTCGTTTATATTCTGAGTGCTTAGGTAAAGTACTTCAAATTCTGTTTTGTGCTCTTGTCCTGGAGAACATACTATGACAGCAATAACACTTGAATTTTTCTGTATTGTGCTTACTGAAGGAGAAGCTCAGCTGAAGGACTAGAACCTTATAATCTTAAGTACAATTCCTATATCGTCATTAGATTTGTGTGCTAAGTAGCACAATCTGGAGATTGCTGTTTGTGCATCTTAAACGTGGAAACCCCCATGGAGAATCCTCTTTTTTAACTGTTATTGTGGCACTTGTAGGAGCAGAATGTTGTAACTGAAAGAAAATGCTGAGAGACTGGTCAGTTGTTGCTGACGGAGTGTGATGTGTTCAGTGTCACACCTGTATTCAGTTACATTTGCGTGGTAGCTGCCCTGGGACTTTTTTAGGAACGTGCAGTTTGCATTGAGGCTCTCGTTTCTGCTGCGGTACAGTGGGTTCGTGTGGTGACTCTCTACCGGGCTGCTTCGAGGGGGGAGGCACTTGTGCTTTGCAATGTATTTGCAGATAGGTACAAGCCCTCTAAATGGTAGTGTGGGGTTTTGTTGGTTTGTTGTGGTTTTTTTTTTTTCTTCCTTTCTTTGTACTTCCTGTTTTGCTTCAGAAAGGAGAAACCTGTTATTAACACACTTTTTTTGGATTTCCAAGGTAAAGCCCTGGATTTTGTACTGCTAAGTCCTGGTTCCGCTTAGCTGTCAGGAGAGCCAACAGCAACGTGCTCCAGCGACAGAGCTGCTGTGTGCTGCTGCTGTCCGTGGCCACGCGGCATGCTTGTGTCAGTTCTTCCTCTGGAGCGGAAGCTGCATCGTCACAGATCAGTTCTGTCAAAATAAGCTAAATCTATCAGATAACTGAAAGAGAGACTTCAGGGCACTTTGTTTCTCCACACAAATCTAAATTATATTCTGCTCACAAATTTTAGCCAGTGTTTGCGTGAGTGTGTTGATAAATTAAAGAACACTTTGTGTTTAATGTGAAACGTTTTGTTTTTTTCCAGAAGTGGTTGGCTCTCAAGGTGTCAAACAGAATGGAAAAAAGCTTGCAGTTAGTCAGAACTGGAGCCACAACAGCACCGATAAAAGCACTCCCAGGTGTGGTAGCTCCCTTCCTTCTTGTGCAGGTTTGGTGAAGCAGTTGAAGGCAGCGTTATGCACATCCTTTGTGGAAGGTCTAGTGAGGAGCAGAAGCGATGGCAATGTTTCTTTGCTGGTTTAGCTATGCCTCTTCTCTACAGAGGAACTCTCTGTAGTGGCAGTAAATATGTATAGCACCAAAGTTCTGGCTGCTGCTGGGTGATCCTGTATGGATGGAAGGAACTGTGGTGGGCAAATTGTTGATGCTGTGATGTCTAGAGGAATAAAAAGAACATGCAGAGAGCTTTGTGTCTGGGCTTCCTGGTTTTCAGCTGGGAAACGGGTGGGGAAGTTGGTCTCTGGTGCCAGCGTGTGAGGTCTGTGCACACACTGGTGTTCGAGCAATCTTGTGGCTGCATCATCTAGTCCCATCTGCCAGCAACTGTCTTGGTTGCAGTCCCCAGAGGTGGTGGGATCTGTAACAGAAGTTGGCAGCTTTTTGAGAAGAGAATCTGCAGATTCTAGTTAGGAGAGAAAAATGTTCAGCATAAGCATGCTGTCAAAACTTTAGTGGGAGGTTCAGCACTGTTTCTCAGAGAAAGTCCTGCTAGTCCCCTGTTCGGGTGTATTTTTGCTGTTTAGTGGGACAGGACCTGCTAGTGTTGTTTATTTTGAATTCAGAGAACTTTGGCCTAGGGCCAGCATGTCTCATAGATACATTCTTAAGATGTTACAGTTTCATTTTCCAGTTCCCAGGACTTTGGGGACCCTGCTGCATATCCTTCAAAATCTGCGTGCTGTCCTTGGCACTGGTGTGCAGGTAGTTGAACTTAAATTCATGCCATCCACTTGCTTGTGGGAACTCCCAAGCTGTGGCATCATTAGTGTTGCAGAAGGAGTTTGCAGAGCCAGAA